GCTGCTACTCTGAAACAGGACCAGATGGTATCACCCAGGAGTTCTGAAGGAACTCAAATGTGAAATTGCAGAGCTACTAACTGTGGTATATAACCTATCATTTTAATCAGCTTCTGTACCAGATGACTGGAGGATAGCTAATGTGACACCAATTTTTTAAAAAGGCTCCAGAGGTGATCCTGGTAATTACAGGCCAGTAAGCCTGACTTTGGTACGAGGCAAACTGGTTGAAACTATAGTAAAGAACGGAATTGTTAGACACATCGATGTACATTATTTGTTGGGGAAGAGTCAACATGGTTTTGTAAAGGGAAATCATGCCTTACTAATTTACTAGAATTTTTGAGGGGGTCAACAAGTGTGGATAAGGGTGATCCAGTGTATATAGTGTACTTAGATTTTCAGAAGGCCTTTGACAAGGTCTCTCACGAGAGGCTCTTAAGCAAAGTAAGCTGTCATGGGATAAGAGGGAAGGTCCCCTCCTGGACCAGTGACTGGTTAAAAGATAGTAAACAAAGGATAGGAATAAATGGTCAGTTTTCAGAATGGAGAGAGATAAATAGTGGTGTCCCCCAGGAGTCTGTACTGGGACCAGTCCTATTCAATATATTCAGAAACAAACTGAAAAAAGGGGTAAACGGTGAGGTGGCAAAATTTGAAGATGTTACAAAACTACTCAAGATAGTTAAGTCCAAAACAGACTGTGAAGAGTTACAAAGGCATCTCACAAAACTGTGTGATGGGGCAACAAAATGGCAGATGAAATTCAATGTTGATAAATGCAAAGTAATGCACATTGGAAAACATAATCCCAACTATACATATAAAATGATGGGGTCTAAATTAGCTGTTACCACTCAAGAAAGAGATCTTGAAGTCATTGTGGATAGTGCCCTGAAAACATCCACTCAATATGCAGCAGCCGCCAAAAAAGGTAACAAAATGTTGGGAATCATTAAGAAAGGGATAGATAACACCACAGAAAATATCATATTGCCTCTATATAAATCTATGGTATGACCACATCTTGAATACTGCATGAAGATGTGGTTGGACCATCTCAAAAAAGATATATTGGAATTGGAAAAGGTACAGAAAAGGGCAACAAAAATTATTCGGGGTCTGGAACTGCTTCCATATGAGAAGAGATTAATAAGACTGGGACTTTTCAGTTTGAAAAAGAGACGCCTAAGTCAGAATATGATAGAGGTCTATAAAATTATGACTGCTGTGGAGAATAGGGTTGCCAACCCTCCAGGATTGGCCTGAAGTCTCCAGGAATTAAAAATTAATCTTTAATAAAAGATTATGTCATGTGATGAAACCTTCAGGAATACAGCCAATCAAAATTGACAGCCCTAGACTGGAGAAAGTAAATAAGGAAGTGCTATTTACTCCTTCTCATAATATAAGAACTAGGGGTCACCAAATAAAATTAATAGGCAGCAGGTTTAAAATAAACAAAAGGAAATATTTCTTCACACAGCACACAATCAACCTGTGGAACTCCTTGCTAGAAGATGTTGTGAAGGCCAAGACTGTAATGGGGTTAAAAAAAGAACTAGATAAATTCATGGAGGGTAGGTCCATCAATGGCTATTAGCCAGGATGGGCAGGGATGGTGTCCCTAGCCTCTGCTGCCAGAAGCTGGGAATGGGCAACAGGGGATGAATCACTTGATGATTACCTGTTCTGCTCATTCCCTCTGGAGCACCTAGCATTGGCCACTGTCAGAAGACAGGATACTGGGCTAGATGGATCTTTAGTCTGACCCAATATGGGCGTTCTTATGTTTTTATGTATCATCATCATTTCTTCGGGAGAGGAAAGTCCAGGTTTTAGTTCCATAAATTAGTGGATAATAAGGCCAAGCCAGAGGTGAAATTCATGCCACCTCACAGAGCCAGTATGAGGCCTACCCATCACTCAAGTCCTTCTTAGAAGGCATAAGTAGGATTTGAATGGTTCACAGGCCTTCAGCTGGTCCTCTGTCCAGGGGTGAATTTCAGTCATGAGGTCTTCCTCAATGAATCTTACGGAAAATAATTTCACCTTTTAATACTGTGCTATAATTATTATGTGAGACAAAATTTAAAGTATTAACAAGACATTTCCCAATAACGGAGGGAAATTACAGCAGGAGTCCACAGATCTCTCTCAAGTGCATACAGTAGTGCAGTCTCAATTCTGATGCAGAAAAAAAACTTTGATCTCAGGGCAATTTTGCCTGCTAAACATGAGATAGAATTATTTGAATCTAGATATAAAATAATCCTGAGACAGTTTCCAAGACCTAGGGGAATTACCTAAGGTACTAAGTCACTGTCTGCCACAGCTAGAGAGGATTTTTTTGTTTGTTTGTTTTTTCCTCACTGTTTATCAGAAAGCTCAGCTAAAATGCAGCCTTTCTCTGAGGAACTAAGAGAAAATGACTTCTGTGGATAAATTCAAATAATGAACAAATTAGCAAAAACTGTGCTCTGCTCACGGACAACTTGCCATCAGAAAGAGAGGCACAACTTGTTGGTAAAATACTTATGAATTATTAGCCCCGCTATAGTCTGGCCACCACTCTATTTTGTGTCCATTTCTGAACTTTACTCGTCCATCGTATTAGGTGTCATAAGTGCAAAAATGCTTCCCTGCAGTCAAATACTCACCATTTTCCCAATCATCATCAGATATGGGCCTGCATGTTGATTTACAGCAAAGAAGTCAAGGAGCCGAGCATACCAAAATATTATATCCAAGCAGTAAATTAGCCTTCCTACTGTTTGAACAGGAGGATCAGCCCAGCGTAAGCCAAAACCAGTCACAAACAGGATGATAGCTATGGAATCAGTGAAGTTCCAGTACTCATAAATCCACACCTTCACCTTTTGGCTGAACTTTCCTGGCTCTGAAATAAATATCTAAAAAGAAAGTGGGGGAAAAAATAACGGAGGCCAATAAAACCCTCACCCTTCAGCCCCCACCCTGTCTGAACCATCAATTGGTACATGGAAATACTTGATTTATAGCAAGTTTTTACAATGAAAGTTCACAAGGTCAGTGATCTGCAATTCCATGATTGCTGGAATTTGAAATGAAACAGTAATGGTCATAGTGCTCAAGAACCCCTCTTGCCACACCAAATAGGTTAGTTCTCTCTATTGATAAATGAATTCTGCTTCTTAATTCATTCACTGAGGAATATATTCCATAGCAGAAAAGAGCAAGCAGTATACAATTATTAAGCATGTGTATTTTTTTGTAAACAAGTATGGGGTTTGTTTGGAGGAGAAATGGTCATGACCTACAGAAACCCTTTCAAAAGCCCCACAGTCATGGAAAATACCAACCCAACCCTGCTGACATGAAAGTAATTAATGTGTTTTAGTTTAGATCTGAAATACAAAATAAGATCTCTGTATGCCAATCCTGAAAAGGGAATGTTGGAAACTGGGAAGGTAGAGATTGAAATGTTTGCTTCTTGAACTGTAAGGGTGCCCCAAAGGGATTTTCAGCTTCACTAAGCAAATGTGTGAAGTGGAATCTTTGGAAGGCCATAAATAAGACCTTTACACATTGCACGATTGAGGCCAATTATGCACTGCTATGGAAGATCAAACTGATAAGGAGCAAATAAAAGAGATTTTGAAATGTTAGGCCCTGATCCTGCAAGAATTTACTCATATGAGTAACTTCATGTAAATGCCAAATCTGGGACTACTCACATGTGTACAGCTACTTACATGAGTATTTGCAAAGATCAGGCCCTAAGGCTGTAACAGTTCCTTGATACAATCTAGAGAAACACTTCTGCACAGTCAAACATAACAAGGCCCTGAGGAATAAATCAGTTGCATGTGTAAGACACAGTGTTACTTTTCCAGTAGACCAGAACTGATATATGGACTAAGAAATTGTCCTGTAAGTTCCGTTTAATAGTCTTGATTGACATGTTCCTGAACCCACAAACAAGATGTGCCATAGCACAACTGTGACCTCTGAGATGCTTGGTGTTTCATACTGTGATTTTTTTTTTTTAAACTCAGATAACCCTTTTGTGTCCTTTTGTCATTTTTAACCTCATATCCAGTCATATAGCTTCCACATATGTTCCAGACTCCATTTTCTACTCTAGATTTGGGCTTCCCTTTGAAAGCCTTAATGTCCTCTTCCTCTGTTTGCAGGGGTCACACTTCAAAAGTTTCTTCTGCTGTGAGAGATAACGGTGTTGTAGCAGAATTCCCTACTTTCACTACAAGGAATTGTCTCAAATTGGTAAAATATTTAAAGGTATCCACTACGCTTCCAACAGTAAGTAAAGGATTCCAACATAATATTAAAAATATTTATGGTACTTATTTTTATTTTATTTATGTTTGTTTGTGTGTTTAGATAATACTACAGTCAGATGAAGAGAATTTTGGATTATCTGTCTTATCCTATAAAATAATGTAGAAAACATGCCATTGTTTTTGTCACTAAAATCATCTATGGCTTTGGAGTGCAGATTGTACTTAGCATAGAGGATCCAATTTCAGTAATGTGTTTTTTTTCACCTAACAGTATGTTTGTAGATGTGTCTGTGTGTGAAGTGCCATATTGTCAATTTGGGGAGCTAAAGTCCTCTATGTTTCCACAGAACATAATGCAGTATAGCTGAAGTGCAAGTTTCCTGGTCTACAATGAATACCTCCTTAGCAGAAAATGTACTACATGCTCATTCAAAACTTGGCTCTAGGCTGAGACATCCACCAGAGATGCCAGTTGATTTAAGCAATCAATTGCAATAAATTTTGAATTATTGCTTCATTTTTTCAAAAATCAAAATCTGTAAAAAAAATAAAATCTTTGTTTCAAATTTTGAAAAATTTCAACCAACTTTCATTTTTATTATGTGGACTCTTCTCCACAGAGACTGGAAGGAGACCTCCAATGTATTTTACATGCAATAGATCACCAAACAGCTGTTAATTGGTAATAACTTCCAGTCAATGCCACAATCAAAGCAGTGACCTAGAGAGATACTATCCATATTCCATTATCAATGAACCAGTGGCCTAAGCCAAGATTTTCAAAAATAGGTGTCTTGATTAAGGCTGTTACCTCCATATTTAGTCATCTAAATAGGTGGATTAATTTTCAAATGTGCTGGGCACCTACCAGTTCCCATTAGAGCTGGTCAGGAATTTTTTGATAACTGTTTTAATCGAAAAATGTCAATTTATCAAAACCAAAACTGTTGACATGACATAACATTGGTTTTGATAAATCTCATGACTGGACAGGTGGTTTTTTTTTTTTTATTTTTTTTTTATTTTTTTGGATAATTTTAATTTTTCATTTCAAAATTTTAAAACAAAACCATCCAATTTTCCAGTTTGAAATGACTTTTTGTAATGAAATTTAAGCTAATTAAACTGAAAAGTGGTGTGGTTGTTTTTTTTTTTTAAAAAAGGTCAAAATTGAAATGAAACATTTCAAAACAATCAGAGTGAAACAACTGACCCAAACCAAAACCTGAAATTTTTTTTGGTTTGTGAAAATTTTCAAGATTTTGACTTTTTGTCCCAATTTGGGAATGTAAACATTGTTGAATTCTCAAAAATATTTCCTGCCAAACTATTGTTCCCACTAGCTTAGGTGCCTAAATAGGGATTTAGGAGGCAAAGATTAGGCATATATTCTTAGAAACACAGTCCCTAGTTTGTAATCAACTAGGACCACTGAAAAGTAAAGATCATACATATTTCTTCTGCTAAACCCTTTGGAAAGGAATCAAAGAATCTGCAGTCATTATTTATCATTTGTCCTCTAGAGATGTAGAGTAGAGAGAGTGGAAAAGGAAGAGCTCACCTCCCTGACTTTCTCAATGGCAGTGGTGAAAATGTAGATAATTACAAGCCACTCTTGCACGCTAGGCCTGGATTCCATCTTCACCAGCACAGTGTAAGTGAACAGCATGAGAAATGCCAAGTATGCCATCTGCAGAAAACATAATACACATTCCATATGCATAGGTAGCTGTGACAAAGAAATTAGAAACTCGCTAGAAACACAGCTAAGAGGAAAACCAAGTGTGCTATATAATGAAACAAAATTTTGTCAAATTAATGGGACTCTATCAAGCGCTTGATTCCAAAAATTTCTGTCAGCCCTTCAGATTGCTATGCCCTTCTGCAGAATGTCCTCCATAGCTTTGCATCTGAAGAAGTGAGGTTCTTACCCACGAAAGCTTATGCTCCCAATACTTCTGTTAGTCTTAAAGGTGCCACAGGACCCTCTGTTGCTTTCTCCATAGCTTTATCATCATTTTTTTTATTATCTGTATTACTGTCCCCCCCAGGAACTCCACTCATGAACTAGGACCCCATTACAGTAGGTGTTGTACAAACAGAACAAAAAGACAGTCCCCACCCCAAAAAGCTTAGAATCCTCGTAAAAGACAAAAGACAACAGATGGGTGCAGACGGAATGATGGGGAAGTAACAAGGAAATAATGAGCTGATATTGTCTAAATAGACCAGACAGACACAGAGTGAGGGAAGGGGTATAAGACATAAGCAGAGTGAACAATGTGATGGCAAATGTCATGTTAGTTCTGTGATACCGTTTTTGTTGTTGGGTTTTTTTTGGGAGGGGGGGAGGAAGTTAGTTAGGAGGGGATCAGCTAAATGGAAAGAAAAGTGAAGGGGAAAGCATGAGGGGGACAGGGCAGGGGAGATGGGGCAGTTGTGGAGTGAAGTTGAGGTGAGGAGACTGTGAGTATGTCTACTCTTGGAGCTGGGGATGTGATTCCCAGCTCGAGAATGAGAAGACATACTCACACGAGCTCTCATTGGAGTTAGCACACTAATGAGAATAATGTAGCTGCCATACAAATGTATGGGTTGCTTACTCAGGGTGGCTAGCCCATGCTGCCACTCACTGCTGTCTGTGCTACCGTGGCTACCACAAATATTTTTAGCACACTAACTCACGTCTACACAGGCTGGGAATCACTCCCAGTGCAGACATAGCCTGTGAGGGAGGAGAAGGGTTGGTGCAAACAGCTAATCAGCACAGAGCAAAGAAAGTCAGGGAACATGCTACAGTTTTGACTGGCATGTCCAGCGGTCCTGGCTTTGGCTGCTTCTGTTCCTACAGGATGGTATTTCTGGATGGCTGCTCTCTGCAGTTGTCCCCCAAGGCCAACGGTGGGGGGAAGGGTCCAACTGCCCCCAAGATGTGTGGGTGGCTTGTCTCCCCTGCACAGATCTATGTCCAGGAGGGAGTTGGGGGAGGAGGGCCCCCCCCCACTGGGCTTCGTTTTACTCCTTCCTCTCCCTTAGTGCAAGAGTCCCTGCTTTGGCTGCATCTTAAAAAAAAAAAAAAAAAGTCTCTTTGCTGTATTGCCAAAATATTCAACAGAAGACATGGTAAAAAAACTACTTTTCCAAGTTATATGCAGCACACATTCAAAAACCACAAAGGCTCCAATCCTGCAATTTACAACGTGCAGGCAAAATGCTGCAGCTGTGCAGAACCCCACTAAAGTCAAACCAATGTTATGAGCTCATCCTGCTGGTTCTCCAGACCCAGAGCTAAACTTTGTACCTACAATTAATTGTGAGGATGAAAAATGCAGGCAGGAGCCACCTTCCACCCCAAGGGTATGTCTACACTACAGGATTAATCCGAATTTAGATAATTCGAATTTGGGAAACAGGTTGTATAAATTCGATTGTGCGCGGCCACACTAAGCACCTTAATTCGGTTTTAAACCACAGTAATTCGGTGGTGTGCGGCCACACTAACCCTAATTCGAATTAACAAAATCGATTTAGGCTCTACTCCGTTCGTCGAGGTGGAGTACAGAAATCGATTTAAAGGGCCTTTTAATTCGAATTAACTGGCTCTGTAGTGTGGACGGGTGAAGGGTTAATTCGGATTAAGGCAGCTAAATCCGAATTAAAGTCCTAGTGTAGACCAGGCCCAAGAGTGGCTGCATTTCAGTGGTAGGTGAAGTGATTATTTTATATACATATATATTCCGTTAAAGGTTTAAAAGATGCTTGAGGCAATATTAATATCTAGTTATTCTTATTGCAATGACCAACCGTATGAAACCAGAACTTGACAATTGGGGCATTGTAGAATTCATAGACTTTTCTAGTCCTCGGAAGGCTTCCGTGCGCACTGTTAATGGAAAAGGTCTGGCTTTTGTCTGGCTTCTCGGGTCCCTTTTCTGCATCATAATCCTTTTTCAAAAAGAAACAGAGTTTTAAAGTCAGACAACATGTTGTACGAGTTAAACAATTCAGCCACATTAACAGAAACACAGGGAAACTTGGAACGGCAACTCTACAGTAAATGCTGTGTGGTATATGCAGAAACAATTAGCATATCTCAGTCACATGCAGTTGCAACTGTCTTTTGCAAGAAGCAACACCAGATAATATTCTTAGCATTACACTTAACTGTGAATACACAAGGTTCTTTTGAGTTTCAAAAGGTGGTCTTATGGTTACAGCACTGGACTGGGAATCAGGAGATCTGAATCTATTCCCAGCTTTGACACAGACTTCCTGTGTGACCTTGGGCAAGTCCCTCAATCGCTTTGTACCTCACTTACCCAATGTGTGAAATGGGGATAGTAATAATTCCCAATCTGATAGAAATGTGGTGACTATGAATCCTTTGATGTTCACAAGACATTCAGATATTACAGTGATGAGCACCACAGAACAGTTCTAAAAAAATTTGGAATATATATAGAGAGAGAAAAACTAAAGGATTGCAAAATTATTAACCTGGGGAATTTATTGTGATTTGGACAATGTGCCTGATTAAGGGAGCATGAGTGAGTCAGCACCATTCTTACACAGATCTGGGCACACAGGCGTGTTGGTGTCCACTTTGCTACCTCCAAGGAACAGATGGGCAGAGCCCTCCACCCACTGACCAGTGCAGATGAGCAGGCACAGGAAGGAAGTCATAATTTGCCCTCGATATATTACTACCCACCACCAGCCCATACAATTTTCTTAAAGTCTTAATAATGGCTTCTGCCAATTGAAGAAGAGAAAGTTGTCCCATGAGAGGATACAACTTCTAGTTTCAGCAGACTGAAGTATAATTTACAACCACGTGTGAAAAATGCACTTGTGCTGAATCTCTATATCCTGGAACTCTCCTGTGGCTTTTTTATATTGTTGTTCATCTCAACTCAGTTCCAGAAAATTCATAGCTAATCTTTCCAGTTTATGGAAAAAGAATGAACACTCAACACTCGATAAATGATGAAGCTAACAACAGTGCTTCTCTAGAAAGGAAACCTTCCTGTCTCATTCAAGTCAGATAACACTCATTCTACTTTGTTCCCTTTACGTGCCTGCAAGGGGTCCCAGCTGCCCATAATTATAATTGGCCTTACCTCTGAATCGTAGCTGTTATCTAACCAGTAAAAGGCCATTTTTGAATTGACTTTATTATTCAGACACTGCAGGGCACAAGTGCATCCACATTCTTCTGCCTCTTAGAGAGACACTTCAGAATTGGCATTGCCATGTCTGTTGTGTTTCTGAGGAAGTTCTGGAGAAATTTATTTTATTTTAGGCAAATTGAGAGTTAATTGTGAAAGAAATGTCCCAAACATTTCTCTATTTTTATTTATCATAGGTGAGGCTGGGAGCACCGTTGCCTTAATAATTTCCTATTATAAAACCCTCTTATCAGATGCTTTTAATTTTGCCAAACTTAAACAGTTTGGGTTGAAATTTTCCATGAGAGGTATCTGGTTCAGGCTGGAATATTGTGGAAAATTTCAGCCAAAATGGTTCAGCCATTTCCAAAAATGAGGCTAGGGGAAAAAACTGCCAATGATAATAAATGCTGGTAATTTTTTCTTTGAAGAGCTCTAGTACTCCCTTGTATTGGAGTAGGAATTTGAAATTTGACTGGGGGTGGCCTTTGTGTCAGGGATGTGCCTTTTACTGTCCCTATGAAAAGCTGCCTAAATTTGGCCAAATTATAAGTACATGCTCAGGAGAAACTTCCTAGATTTCAGCAACAAAATTCCCAGAAGATTCTGTTCGCACTAGGCATGCTACAGCCAGGGGATTTCCTTGCAGTTGCAGCTTTGGGCTGCTGTGAAATGTGCAGGGTCAGGGCACCTAAACTGATAAAGAAATTATCTCTGCTGTGCTGTCAATCATCCAGGCTGAGACAATGTGGAGGAAGATGTTCCCTGATTCAACCAGGCCTGCGGAGGGAGACATGGGGAGCAGCTTGGTATAAGGGGGTTGGGAGAGATTGGGACTGACTGGGCAAAGATATTTGGACTGTGAGCCAGGGAAGGTAATGGGGGACTGGGAGCCAGTAGGTAGGTGGAGGAGACTGAGACTGTATGAGGTCATGTAATTACAGCCTGTATCATAATGCATAGGCACAAGAGGACCAAATTAAGGTTGCACAGGCAACCTTAACACTGGCATTTCTAACTTTTGAGCAATTGACTTGAATAATGTTCTTCTAACATTTTTGTCTGTGTGAAATATATATATATATATACACACACACACACACACTTGATATATAAATATACATACATTTATTTATCTAGATACTTATATGGCTGCTATCACCATGTAAACACCATAACCATGCTCCTCACAATCATTAAAGGATTTTATCCTCACAATACTGCTGTGAGGTAGGGCGGTATTACCTCAGTATTACAAATGGGGAAGTGATACACAAGATACATTAAGTGATTTGCCCAAGGTCACACAAGAACTCTGTGCCTAAGCTGAGAATAGAACCCATGTCCCCTGAGTTCCAGTCCGGTACCCTATCCTTCCTAATTTTTCAGGAATATATATTGTTTATAAAGTGATAGAACAGATCTTGCCAGACTTGCCTGTCCTGGTGTGGGGAGAGAGAATCTGGATGAGGGGAAATGTGTGCCGTGTTGATTGTTCTTGTGGACAGATCTGTGGCCAGCTGCCCAGGTAGACTGATTTCAAATTGCCACCTTTTTTTAATTGCTGGAGGATCCCATCCACTCCTGCACCAGCTACTCAGGCAGCACCTTTCATTTATTGTCCCCTTTCCAGTGTGTTGAACCACCAATTCTCTGCTAGCATCCTCCCACCACAGGCTCAAGGTTGTTGTACAATGTGGTAAAGTCTGAAAATGTCCAAGCTCAACCCAAGACTGGGAAGATCCTTTGGGAAAGAAATTCCAAAACTGAAATCACCTGAACATATGCCCCCCCAACTCTCATCCGTTCCTTACGCCCTCTGCCCCATAGTCTTGTGTTTGTGTGTGTGTGTGTGTGTGTGTGTGTGTGTGTGTGTGTGTGTGTGTGTGTGT